ATACAAGAGCAAAAAGAAATTCCTGCTTTACAATTTTTCAAAATTTCGATTTGGAAAACTTGTTCTTTTGTCCAAAATTTAAAAATGCAAAAACAGAACTTGATTATTTAAAAGCTAAAATTTGAGAAATGACTAAAAATTGAAAACTCGAAAAACTGCAAATCAAAAAACTGAAGACACGAAAATTTGAATTATCGTTTAATTCAAATAAAGGAAAATTAAAATATCTACAAATTGAAAAATCCAAGGGACGAAAAGTTGAAAAACCGGAAACTTAAAAAAATTCTAAAAATCCAAGAAACCTGAAATTTCGAAAAACTGAAGAAACGAAAATTTGCAAAATCGAAAATCTAAAAATTCGAAAAATGAAAATGAAAAACTCTAAAATTGAGTCATTCTAAATCGGAAAATTTAAAAATCTAAGTAAAACTATAAAATCGAAAAATTGAAAAATTCATGAGTTGATAAATAGAAACTTTGAAAAGCTTAAAACAAATTCGAAAATTTAACAAAAATCGAAAAATCCAGAAATTTGTACAAAATCGGAAAACTAAAGAATTTTTCAAAACTCAAAACTGGGTGCTATTAAAAAAGTGGTCAGTCAACACAATATAAATAAACACCATGAAAGCAATTAAAAATTAAATAGTTAAGAAAAATTTAAGTACTTACAAATAAAAATTGAAAAATCTAAAAACTGTAAAATCGTCAAAATTTCAGTATTAATAAATTTGTTCGTTTTGAATTAAATTAAAAATTAGAAACTGGGAAAATGAAACAAAAAAATTTAGTACTTGAAAAATTTAAAAGCTAAATTAAAAGTTTAAATCACGACTGACTGAAATAAGGAAAAATTAAAATATCTAAAAAATTTCAAAATCAAAAAATAGGAAATTCCAAAAATTGTAAAATTGAAAAATTAAAGATTGACAACTAGAAAATCCAAAACCGAAACACTGCGAAGTCGAAAATTTGAAGAAACAAAAATTCACAAATGGGAAATTTGGAAATCCAAATTAAAAATCGAGAAACTGTAAAATCCAAAAACTGAATAAATGATCTAGAACTTGACAAATCGAGATAAGTGTAACCGAAAAATAAATTAAAAAATTGAAAAAATGAATATAAAATTTCGCTTTTACAATTATGTTTTCGAATTTTCAGTTTTTCGATTTTTAATTTTACGTTTCGGCAATTTTACAAATTTTTGAAAACTTCACTTTGAATAAATTTGTTCTTTTTGCCCAAAATTTAAAAATGCAAAAACGAAAACTTGATGAAAAGCTAAAATTTGAAAAGACTAAAAATTGAAAACTAGAAAAACTGCAAATAAAAAAATTGAAGACATGAAAGTTTAAATTATCGTTTAATTCAAATAAAGGAAAATTAATATACCTACATAATCTAACGAAAAATTGAAAACCCGGAAACTTAGAAAAAAAGAAAAATCTAAGAAATGAAAAATTTTAAATCGAGAAACTGACGGAACGAAAATTTGCAAGGTCGAAAATCTAAAAATTCGAAAACTGAAAGCGAAAAACTCTAAAATTGAGTCATTCTAAATCGGAAAAGTTAAAAATATAAATAAGTAACTGTAAAATCGAAAAATTGAAAAATTCATGAGTTCATAAATAGAAATTTTAAAAAACTTAAAACAAATTCGAAAATTTGACAAAATTCGAAAAATCGAGAAATTGCAAAATTAAAGAATTTTAAAAACTCAAAAATGAGTGCTATTAAAAATGCTCAGTCAACACAATATAAATAAATGCGGTGAACGCACTTAAAAATTATCTAGTTAAAGAAAATTCAAAAATCCTAAAACTGTAAAATCGTGAAAATTTCGGTTTTAATAAAGTTGTTCTTTTTGAATTAAATTAAAAATTAGAATCTGGGAAAATCAAACATTAAACTCGAAAAAGTTAAAAGTTAAATTCAAAATTGAAATGTCGATTAACTGAAATACAGAAAAATTAAAACATCACAAATTGAAAAAAATGAGGAAGTACATAAGTGAAATATCGAAAAATTGCGGATTAAAAATCTGGTAAACCGAAAAATTACAAAATCAAAAAATCAGAAATTTCAAAAATTGTAAAATTGAAAAATTAAAGATTGAAAGGTGGAAAACCCAAAATCGAAAAAATGCAAAGTCGAAAGTTTTAAGAAACAAAAATTCACAAAGGGAAAATTTGAAAATCCAAATATATATTAAAAATCGAGAAACTGTAAAATCCAAAAACTACATAAATGATCTAGAAATTGACAAATCGAGATAACTGTAATCGAAAAATTGTAAATTAAAAAATTGAAAAAATTAATATAAAATTTCGCTTTTACAATTTTTCTAATTTTCAGTTTTTCGATTTTAAATTTTTCATTTCGGCGATTTTACAAATTTTTGAAAATTTCACTTTGAATAAATTTATTCTTTTTGTCCAAAATTATTTAAAAATGCCAAAACGAAATCTTGATGAAAAGTTTTAATAGTAATGAAAAAACTTTCAGAGTTTAAAAAATATATTTGTAGTCACTGCTACACGTGTTTCGGTACACAGTAGACGGTACTGTGTACCGAAACACGTGTAGCAGTGACTACAAATATATTTTTTAAACTCTGAAAGTTTTTTCATTACTATTAAAATTAATATGGAGTTTAAACACGTATCAGCCTCATCAATACAAACTTGATGAAAAGACTAAAAATTGAAAACTAGAAAAACCGCAAATCAAAAAATTGAAAATATGAAAATTTAAATTATCGTTTAATTCAAATAAAAAAAAATTAAAATATTTACATAATCTAACGAAAAATTGAAAACCCGTAAACTTAAAAAAATCGAAAAAGCTAAGAAACGAAAAATTTTAAATCGAGAAACTGACGGTACGAAAATTTGCAAGATCGAAAATCTAAAAATTCGAAAACTGAATGCGAAAAACTCTAAAATTGAGTCATTCTAAATCGGAAAATTTAAAAATCTAAATAAGTAACTATAAAATCGAAAAACTGAAAAATTCATGAGTTCATAACTAGAAATTTTGAAAAACTCAAAACAAATTCGAAAATTTGACACAAATCAGAAAATCCAGAAATTGCAAAATCGGAAAATTAAAGAATTTTAAAAAACTCAAAAATGGGTGCTATTGAAAATGCTCAGTCGACACGATATAAATAAATGCGGTGAAAACAATTAAAAATTATCTAGTTAAAGAAAATTTAAATATAAAAATTGAAAAATCCAAAAACTGTAAATCGTGAAAATTTCGGTTTTAATAAATTTGTTCTTTTTGAATTAAATTAAAAATTAAAATCTGGGAAAATCAAACATTAAAAAATTTTGGAAGTCGAAAATTTTAAAAGTTAAAATCAAAATTGAAAAATTAACAATTGAAAACTAGAAAATCTAAAATATACAAACTGTAAAGTCGAAAATTTGAAGAAACAAAAATTCACAAATGGAAAATTTGAAAATCGAAATCTAAAAATGGAGAAATTAGAAATCAAAATCTGAATAAACGATCTAGAAGTTAACAAATCGAACTAACTGTAAAATCGAAAAACCGTAAATTAAAAAATTGCAAAATAAAAATCTGAAAACTGAGAAATCATAAAACCAAAAATCTGTATGATTTTTAAAAATTCGATAGTGGATGCTACTAAAAAATCCTCAGAATGACACCGACGTGCTGTATTGTCATTGTCAAATTTAAATATAAAAATTGAAAAACTAAAAACGACAAAATCGTAAAACTAAAAAATACAAAATTTCAAAAATCAAGAATTGAAAAAGCCAAAAGTTGAAAATATGAAAAACTGCATATCGAAAAATTGAAAAACAACAAATTGAAAAATCAAAAATCAAAAAAACAATCAATAGGTTTAATGAAAATTATAGCTAAAATACAAATACTATGTAAACAGCATTTTCTTACTAACTTAATTTAGTTATAATTTGAATTCTTATATTGAAAATAAACGTTACAAAAGTATTGCGTATTTAGCCGCATATTTTTAATAAAATGGTGCATATTTTGACCAAAAATGGGTGCATATTAAATAAAGGTCGGCACTTTCAAAGAAAATTAAAAACACCTTTTTAAATTTGTGTCTTTGGCTCCAAAATTTAACCGAACAAAAGGTGCCACCTCGTGGCATAATAAACAAGTGCTTAATATATGTGTTAATCAATGACTTGGGGATACTTTGCTTGCGGAAACACTTTTCCCAGTTATCGAATAGATAAATTTATGAGTTGAATAACTATCGGACCCTTAGGCAGAGCTTTCAGAAATCGGACATAAGTCACTATTATCGAATATATTTTATATTTTTGAAAATAATACACATATTACGGATTTAATTTTAAAACGTTAAGACGATACGGCTAGCGCCACCTAGGCCTGGAAAAACGTACCGCATTGCCAGAACGAATGAAGTTCCCTTTAAATGTCAGCTGTTTCGGTCGGCACCAGGATCGTTAAAACTGGATCATGGATCAAGGAATCCCTCTTGTTACTCTTGCTTATTAATTATTTATAACCAATCAGAGTGCCCAGATTTTTTGAGAATTTGAGGATTTTGTTTTTTGAGGATCTGAGGAAACAAATTAGTTCTGGAGTAAATGCAACCAGTAAAATACGGTGCATAAATGACTTTAAAATGTTGTATGTACCACGAATTTTATTTAAAGTTTAAACCCTCGGGCATAAACTACTTCATAATACCCTTGATACATAAATAAGTTTTATGGAAGACAATAGGTATTCGATTTATGGCAACTTAGATTATAAAAACTCAAGTATTTACGGAAAAACCAAAAGTACCTGTTAGTAAAAAAAATCTAACATTTTTTTTTGTGTGCATGTAAATCTCGAAAAATCTTGATAATATTCCCCAAACAAAATAATATAATTTTGGAAGGCATCTAAAAACCCATAAACTCGTACTCACCCCTCGTAACGATTCCCCCAAACCCCATTCCAACTGGATCTACCCTGCGCCACGACATCGATTCACCACCCGTTCTTCATTCCTCTTCAAGACCGCGAAAAGCAAAGACGCGAAACCAGCACCATGGACGACCGAACCATCGACTTAATTTTCGCCGGCTCCCTCGAAAACCTGCCCCCGGTGAGCTCGAAAATCGTCCGAATTTTCACCAGCTCCACGTTCACAGGTACGAAAAAACAACCCCTTTTTTAGTAAATCTCCCAATTTCTCGCAGACACCACGATGGAAAGAAACACCCTCATGGCCAAGTGTTACCCGAAAATCAAGGACTACTGCCGCGAAAAGCACGGGCTGGAATTCCAGGTGAGTCCTGACCTGCAGTATCGACTCCCTTGCAGATTTTTCTTTGTTTTTGCACGTCGACCTAGCGTCGAAATTAATGGCCTTGGGCAAGGGCGCGAACTTGGTACCAGTTGGTACGGAACGATTAACCCAGTGGAAAGAAATCGATGGGGCGTGCTGCTGGGTAAATTTTGTTTTTCGGATTTAAGGTCGTGGACATGAGGTGGGGGGTGAGGGATGAGGCCACCGACGATCACATGACTACGGAGCTGTGCATGAAGGAGATCCAGAACTGTCAGAGGCTGTCCATGGGGCCGAATTTTGTCGTGAGTTAAACAAAAAAAAAAGTTAATAACAATAACAAACAAATTGTTGAAAATGTCAGGTGTTTCTGGGTCAAAAATACGGCTACCGCCCCATCCCCACCTACATCCTCTCCTCCGAGCTGCAGATGATCCGCGACGAACTCGCCGCCACCGGCCACGACGCCACCCTCATCGACACCTGGTACCGCAAGGACAGCAACGCCGTCCCCCCCATCTCCGTCCTGCAGCCCATCTCCTCCATCCTCATCAACTTCAACAACAAGCGCATCCCGAAGCTGCAAGCCGAAGACCAGGCCAAGTGGTGGGACACCCTCAACAAGTTCCAGAAGCTCTTCCGCAAGGCCGCCGCCTCCTTGTACCAGCAGAACAAGATGGACCCCGACGCCATGCACAACTACTTCATGTCCGTGACCGAGCGGGAGGTCATCAACGGCATCCTCAACGTGAAGAACACCAAGAACCACTGTCTGGCCTACATCAGGATGATCAACAACATCAACTTGCAGAACCTGAAGAAGGCGTCTCTGTTCGTCGACATCATCAACAGAAGCTTGGACTCCGAGTCGGCGAAGCTGTTGGCGAACCTGAGGGACGAGCGTCTGCCGGCGAAAATCGAGAGCAGCAACATGCAGAAGTACACGGTGGAGTGGATCGGGCGCGAGGGGTTGGACAACGAAACACACGAAGACTACTTGAAGCACTTCATCACCCACTTCTACAAGAACATCGTAAAACTAGTGGATCGAGCCATGCGGAAAGAAGACTCCAGTGCCCAGGGTCAGATCGTCACGGAAATCCTCCAGCATCTGCACGCTTGTAACAACTCAGTTAAAGTTTTCTACGGGAGAGAAGAGAGTCTGGAGCACATCCACCAGTACATGACCAACGACTCCGACAAGCTTCTGGTTCTGTACGGGGAAGGAGGTTGCGGGAAAACGTCGCTTCTGGCCAAAACCGCCAGCATGTCCACCAGTACTGAGTGGTTTAAGAACGCCAAACCCATTAGTATTATCCGCTTCTTGGGCACCACTCCAGACTCGTCTGCTTTAACGCCGACTTTAATTTCCATCTGTCAGCAGATTTCGTACAACTTCATGCTTCCGTTTGACGGTATCCCGGACGATTTGGTGCCTCTAACGGCGCACTTTAAGTATCTGCTGACGCTTGCCACGAAGGAGCAGCCTTTGGTGCTCTTCCTGGATTCCGTGGATCAACTAACCGGGACCCAGGACGCTAATAAAGTGTCATGGCTGCCGACGAGATTGCCACCATATTGTAAAGTCTGTGCTTTTGACAGTGTCGGGGTCAAAGTGGCATCCTAACTGTTTTCTAGATCCTGGTGTCGTGCGCGTCCGAAGAAAGCAACCCAGAAGTGTCCAGAGAGTACCACATTCTGCGCCGGATGGTCGACGTGGAGGAGAACTTCATCGAAGTGAAAGCTCTTGGCGAAGAGTTGGCCATGAAAGTCGTCAAGTAAGCTTTATCAACAAAATGTATTCTCGCATTATAACTAGGGCCCGTGTTTTCGATCACAAAAAATCAGGAAAAAGGGGCCTAAAATAGGCTTTAAAAAACTTCAAATTAGTTCTTAGTTATTCTTTTTTAAATTAATGTTCAGAGAACTGTTCTAAGCATAATATACCAAAATGTAAGGGGTCTTAGTACTAAAGTCAGTACTAAATGTTGAGCTATTTCCTGAAAATGATAAAATATCTAACTGTGATTGAAAATTACCTCGAGGTTGTAGTGTTCTCAACGAAAAACTATTAAAGTAATTTTGTAACTTTATTGCCACCGATACGTGAGTGAATTAATTATTATTGATGCAAAAATATTACTCATTGTCAACATTTTACAATTAAAATCCGTCTACAACAAGGAAGGTAAAACAGTTTTAAAACGGTAAAAAGTATCGATTTTGCAATTAGGCAAATGGAAGAATGGCAGAGAGAGTGATAAATGGGAGAATGAGAGAGAGTGTGATAAATGAGAGAATGAGAGAAAGTGGTATAAATGAGAGAATGCAAGAGAGGGTGATAAATGGGAGAATGAGAGAGAGTGTGATAAATGAGAGGATGAGAGAGAGGGTGATAAATGGGAGAATGAGAGAGGGAGTGATAAATGGGAGAATGAGAGAGAGAGTGATAAATGGTAGAATGAGATAGAGAGTGATAAATGGTAGAATGCGAGAGAGGGTGATAAATGGGAGAATGAGAGAAAAGGTGATAAATGTGAGAATGAGAGAGAGGGTGATAAATGGTGGAATGCGAGAGAGAGTGATAAATGGGAGAATGAGAAAGAACTGATAAATGAGAGAATAAGAAAAAGTGTGATAAATGAGAGAATGAGAGGGAGTGTGATAAATGGGAGAATGAGAGAGAGAGAGACTGATAAATGAGAGAATGATAGAGAGTGTGATAAATGAGAGAATGACAGATAGGGTGGTAAACGGGAGAATGAGAGAGAGTGATAAATGAGAGAATGAGAGAGAGAGTGATAAATGAGAGAATGAAAGAGACTGATAAATGGGAGAATGAGAGAGAGTGTGATAAATGAAGGAATGAGAGAGAATGATAAATGGGAGAATGAGAGAGACAGTGATAAATGAAAGAATAAGAGAGAAGGTGATAAATGGGAGAATGAGAGAGAGAGAGAGTGATAAATGGGAGAATGAGGGAGAGAGTGACAAATGGGAGAATCCGAGAAAAATTGCTAAATGTGAGAATGAGAGAAAGTGTGATAAATGAGAAAATGAGAGAGAGGGTGATAAATAGGGGAATGGGAGAGAGGGTGATAAATGGGAGAATGAGAAAGAGACTGATAAATGAGAGAATAAGAGAAAGTGTGATAAATGAGAGAATGAGAGAGAGTGTGATAAATGAGAGAATGAGAGATAGGGTGATAAACGGGAGAATGAGAGAGAGTGATAAATGGGAGAATGAGTGAGAGAATGATAAATGAGAGAATTAAAGAGAGTGATAAATGAGAGAATGATACAGAGTGTGATAAATGAGAGAATGAGAGACAGAGAGTGATAAATGGGAGAATGGGAGAGAGAGTGATAAATGTTAGAGTTAGAGAAAGTGTGATAAGTGAGAAAATGAGAGAGAGTCATAAATGGAATAATGAGAGAAACAGTGATAAATGGGAGAATGCTTTGTCCTTTTCGTCCCTCGTCCTTCGTCTTTTTCGATCTTCTTCCTTCGTCCTTTTCGTCCTTGATCTTTCGTCCTTCGTCTTCGTCCTTTTCATTCTTTTCGTCTTTCGTCTTTTTCGATCTTCGTCCTTTTCATCTTTCGTCCTTTTCGTTCTTCGTCCTTCGACCTTTTCGTTCTCTTCAGCCTTTTCGTTCTTTGTCCTTTTCGTAATTCGTCCTTCGTCCTTTTCGTCCTTCGTTCATGTCGTCCTTCGTCCTTTTCGTCCTTCATCCTTTTCGACCTTCGTACTTTTCGTCCTTCGTTCTTTTCGGCTTTTGTCCTTCATTCTTTTCGTCCTTCGTCCTTTTCGTCTTTCGTCCTTCGTTCTTCGTCCTTCGTCCTTTTCGTCCTTCGTCCTTGTCCTTCGTCCTTCGTCCATTGCCCTTCGTTCTTCATCCCTCGTCCTTTTCGTTCCATTCGTCCTTCGTCTTTTTCATCCTTTCCGTCCTTCTCATCCTCTTCGTCCTTTTCGTCCTTCGTCTTTTTCGTCCTTCGTTCTTTTCGTCTTTCAACCTTTTCGTCCTTCGTCCTTCGTCTTTCGTCCTTCATCCTTCGTTCTTCGTCCTTCATCCTTTTCGTCCTTCGTCCTTTTCGCCCTTCTTCCTTCGTTCTTCGTCCTTTGTCCTTTTCCTTCGTCCTTCGTCCTTTTCATCCTTCGTCCTGTTCGTCCTTCGTCCTTGATCCTTTCCGTCCTTCGTCCTTCGTCCTTTTCGTCCTTTTCATCCTTCGGCCTTTTCGTCCTTTTCGTCCTTCTCGTCCTTCTCGTCCTTTTTGTCCTTTTCATCCTTTTCATCTTTCGTCCTTTGTCCTTTTCGTCCTTTTCGTTTTTCGTCCTTTTCTTCCTTCGTCCTTTCCGTCCTTCGTTCTTTTCGCCCTTTTCGTTCCTAGTTCTTTTCGTCACTCGTCCTTTTCGTCCTTCGTTCTTTGTCCTTTGTCCCTCGTCCTTCGTCCTTCCTCCTTCATCCTTCGCCATTCGTCCTTCTTCCATCGTTTTTCGTCCTTCTTCCTTCGTCCCTCGTCCTTCGTCCTTCTTCCTGCCTCCTTCGTTCTTCGCCCTTTGTCTTTCTTCCTTGGTTTTTCGTTCTTCCTTCGTCCTTCGTCCTTCGGCTTTTTCGTCCTTTTCGTGCTTCGCCCTTCGTCCTTTCAGTCCTTCGTCCTTCGTCCTTTACGGCTTTTCGTTTTTCGTCTTTCGTTCTTTTCGTTCTTCGTCCTTTTCGTTCTTCGTCCTTCGTTCCTCGTCCTTCGGCCTTTCCTTCCTTTTCCTTCGTCCTTCGTTATTCGTCCTTTTCGTTTTTCGTCTTTTTCGTCCTTCATCATTTTCGTCCTTCGTTTTTTTCGTCCTTCGTCCTTTTCGTCCTTCGTCCTTTTCGTCCTTCGTCCTTTTCGTCCTTCGTCCTTTTCGTCCTTCGTCCTTTTCGTCCTTCGTCCTTTTCGTCCTTCGTCCTTCGTTTTTTTCATCCTTCGTCCTTCGTTTTTTCATCCTTCGTCCTTCGCCTTTCATCCTTTTCGTCCTTCGTCTTTCATCCTTTTCGTCCTTCGTCCTTGTTCTTCGTCTTTCGACCTTTTCGTCCTTCATCCTTCGTCCTTCGTCCTTCGTTCCTCGTCCTTCGTCCTTCGTCCTTTTCGTTTTTTGTCCTTCTTCCTTTGTCCTTCGTCGTTTTCGTTCTTTTCTACCTTCGTCCTTTTCGTCCTTTTCGTCCTTTTCGTCCTTTTCGTCCTTTTCGTCCTTTTCGTCCTTTCATCCTTTTCGTCCTTCGTCCTTTTCGTCTTTCATCCTTTTCGTCCTTCGTCCTTCGTTCTTTTCGTTCTTCGTCCTCCGTCATTTTCCTTCGTCCTTCGTCCTTTTCGTCCTTCGTCCTTCGTTCTTCGTCCTTCGTTCTTTTCGTTCTTCGTCCTCCGTCATTTTCCTTCGTCCTTCGTTTTTTTCGTCCTTTGTCTTTCGTCTTTTTCGTCCTTTTCGTCTTTTTCGTCCTTCGTCCTTTTCGTCCTTCTCGCCCTTTTCGTCCTTTACATCCTTTTCGTCTTTCGTCCTTTACATCCTTTTCGTCTTTCGTCCTTCGTCCGTCATTTTCGTCCTTTTTGTCCTTCGTCCTTTTCGTCCTTCATCCTTTTCTGGAGAATGGAAGAAAGACATAAATGGGAGAATGAGAGAGGAAGATATGGGAGAATGAAAGAGAGAGATAAATGGGAGAATGATAATTTTAACTAACTCAGAAATATGGCAAGTGGTATTAGAGAAAGTGCCTTGACAAAAGAACTAATAAAAATGAGTTACAAATTTATAATAGTATTACAATCGAAAGCAAAGGCGCAAGACGTCTTTCAAAGAGCTGACGCACTTTATTGGTGTTGTTTCCGGAAAAAGTCTGCTTTTGCCCACCCATTGGTTGGATGTTTTGTGAATTTACCGCAAAGCAGCAAGTTTAGGACGTTTTAGGTCGCAAAAGTCAGTTTTAGGTCACATACTCTCATTTTAGGCATTTAGGCAATTATAAAGTAAGCTCAAATAACGTTATCTTTTGCGAGACACATTTATATCTAAGTTTTATGTAAAAAATGCTTTAAGAAGGAACAAAAATGCAAAAAACTTGAAGTTCGCCGATCCTTAACTCGACAATATTTTTGGACTAATAGTATTTTTAATGTTTGGAATTCTCTACCCGATTATATCATTAAGAGCCCGTGTCTTTTAAGTTTCAAAATTAATTTTGATTAGTATAACAGGCCTTTCCCTCTGCCCGATCGAATAATAATAACTTATAATAATTTTCGACGAAATTTTCGAAATTTAACTAACTACATTTTCTTGTCGAGATCTACATCCCTGAATTTTTTGAGAATTTAGACGACTTTTTGAAAATTGAAAACTTTCGAAACTTAACTAAACACATTATTTTCTTGTGAACTTCGAGCTCTAAAAACCTCTTCCGACCTCGTTTCTCTGATAGCTCCAATCAATTTAAAAATTTTTCTTTAAAACTTGTGTTCGTTTCCAGGATGTGGATGAGGACGGCCTGTCGCGACTTGACCAACTACCAGTGGCGCCTCGTCTCCAACGCCATCGAAAAGTGCAGCCTGCCCATCTTCGTGAAGCTCGTCTTCGCGGAAATCTGCAGGTGGCGCAGTTACACCAAGAGTCAAGACACCCACCTCGCTTCCACCGTCATGGACTCCATCATGATGTTATTCGAACGAATCGAGAAACAGCACGGGAGAATCCTGGTCTTCCACGCTTTAGCCTACATCACCGCCGCCAAAAGCGGCCTGTCTGAGTCCGAGCTCGAAGACTTGATTTCCCTCGATGACAAAGTCCTGGACGACGTGTACCAGTACCATTTACCGCCCGTGCGGAGAATCCCGCCGTTGTTGTGGACCCGCATCAGGAACGACTTACCCAACTACTTGTCTGAGCGGGAAGCCGATGGGGTCAGCGTCATGAACTGGTACCATCGTCAGTTCCGGGACACCGCGAAGGAGCGCTACTTCAAGAACATGAACATGGCGATGTACTTCCACTCCATGATCGCCGACTACTTCCTAGGGATTTGGGGCGGCGGCAATCCCAAACCTTTCAAGTACACCGAAATCCAAAGACACAGATTCAACCTAACCGACAAAGAAGGCGTCGCTGATCGTAAAGTCCCGGTTCAACCTCTGGTTTTCTACAGCAAGGATGGTAAAGTCTCCAGGTACAACCTCCGGAAGTTCGGCGAGCTTCCGTTCCACCTGGTGCGCTCCAGACGCTTCAAGGACCTCTACGAGAACGTTCTCTTCAACTACGAGTGGCTTCATGCCAAGTTGTCGAGCTGTCCGTTGCAGGCGGTGTTGGCGGACTACGAAGATGCTAGTAACCACATCGAGGATAAGGATGCGAAGAGGGAGTTGATGCTGGTGGCTGATGCTCTGCGTCTGGGGGGTGCTGTCTTGGGGCAGTACCCCAACATGCTGGCGCCGCAGCTCATAGGGCGACTCTTGCCAGAAGTGGGGAAGAATCCGAATATAAAAATGTTGCTGAATGATTGTGATATTAAGGGTCCGGTGCATTGTTCGTTGTTGCCGGTTTACCACTGTCTTCATACGCCTGGAGGGCCGCTGAAGTACTCGCTGGAGGGGCATCAGTTTGCGGTTTTTGCGATTTGTCTCACTTCGGATTATAGATATGTCGTATCTATTTCGAATAGGTTCATAACGTGGGATTTGTCCACTAGTGATTTGACTAGGGATGTGAATCCTAACATAGAGGGGATCATGCAGCAGCTGGTACTGAGTCCGGATAATAAGTGGGCGGCAGCTTACACCAATAACAACCAGGCAAGTGGCAAGTTTTGCAGTAGTAGGTAAATTTTGGCTAGTTTTATAAAATAACGTACTCCTCCAGTTGTGGTTTATGAATCCGTGTTGGATTTTATCCACGACATCGAAATTTTTGGATAAAATTTTTTGGTTTTTCGATTTTTCCATTTCTCGATTAGGATTTTTTAGTTTCTTGATTCATCAACTTTGCGATTTTTCAATTTTTAGAATTTTTGATTTCTCAATTTTTTTATTTTTCGATTTCACGATTTGAATTGCTTTTTTAATTTTTCAATTCTTCAATTCTTTAAGTAAGATTTGGTTTTTCAATTTTTTTATTTTTCAACTTTTCGATGTTTCTATTTGTAAATTATTCAATTTTTCAATTCGGCGAATTTTCAGGTGTTTAATTTTAATTTTTTCCTTTTTTTCATTTATTTAATTTTTCGATTTTCTAAATTTTCAGTTTTTCGATTTTTGTGTTTCTCTTTTTTCAATGTTTCAGTTTTTGTGGATTTTTGACTTTTTTTCAACTTCTCGATTTTCTAAATTACCCATTTTTCAACCTTTAGACGATTTGATGTCACTATTTTTTGATTTTTCACTTTTTGTTTATTTAATTTTTCAATTTTTCGATATTTCAAATTTGGAATTTTCAGTTTTTCGATTTTTCAAATTTTCGATTTTTCATTTTTTTATTATTCCAGTTTCGACGTTTCGATTTCTCTATCTTCGATTTTTTAGTTGTTTATTTCTTTAAATATTCAATTTTTCAATTTTTCGATTGTTCAAGTTCTTGATTTTTCAATTTTTTGATTTTTTAAATTTTCGTTTTTTTTAATTTCTTTTTTCGACTTTTCCGTATCACTCCAAACATTTAATTTATAAAATACATTTTTTTAAATTCTCAATATTTCGATTTCTCAGTTTTTCGATGTTTCAGTTCGTGGATTTTTCAATTTTTCGATTTTTCGATTTCTAGATTATTCAATTTTCAATCCAGCAAATTTTCAGGTGTTTAATTTTAATTTTTCCATTTTTCATTTATTTAATTTTTCGATTTTCTAAATTTTCAGTTTTTCGGTTTTTCTGTTTTTCGATTTTTGTGTTTTTCGACTTTCTGCTTTCTCGATTTTTCAATTTTTCCATTTCTCTTTTTTCAATATTTCAGTTTTTTGTGGATTTTTTACTTTTTTCAATTTCTCGATTTTCTAAATTACCCACCCACTTTTCCGCCTTTCAACGATTCGGTATTTCTATTTTTTGATTTTTCCCTTTTTGTTTCTTTATTTTTCAATTTCCCAAAGTTTTCAAATTTTTCGGTTTCTCCATTTTTGAACTATTGATTTCTCAATTTTTCGATATTTCAAATTTGGAATTTTTCAGTTTTTCAATTTTTCAAATTTTTGATTTCTCATTTTTTTAATATTCCAATTTCGACGTTTCGATTTCTCTATCTTCGATTTTTTAGTTGTTTATTTCTTTAAATATTCAATTTTTCTATTTTTTTATTCTTCAGGTTCCTGATTTTTCAATTTTTTGATTTTTTAAATTTTCGTTTTTTAATTTCTTTTTTAGACTTTTCCGTTTCACTCCAAAAATTTCTCAATTACAATGAAAACCAACAAAGTTAACAAAAAATCAAGAAGAACGACCTCAATAAAATACAATTTTTTAATAATAATAATAATAATAATAATAATAATTGTCAATATTTCGATTTCTCATTTTTTCGATGTTTCAGTTCGTGGATTTTTCAATTTTTCGATTTTTCGATTTCTAGATTATTCAATTTTTCACTTCAGCGAATTTTCAGGTGTTTAATTTTAATTTTTCCATTTTTCATTTAGGTATTTAATTTTTCGGCTTTTCTGTTTTTCGATTTTAGTGTTTTTCGGCTTTCCGGTTTCTCGATTTTTCAATTTTTCCGTTTCTCTTTTTTCAATATTTCAGTTTTTTGTGGGTTTTTCACTTTTTTCAACTTCTCGATTTTGTAAACTACCCATTTTTCAACCTTTCGACGATTCGATATCTCTATTTTTTTATTTTTCACTTCTTGATTCTTTATTTTTCAATTTCCTAAAGTTTAAATTTTTCAGATTTTTCGGTTTCTCCATTTTTCAACTATGGATTTCTCAATTTTTCGATATTTCAAATTTGGAATTTTTCAGTTTTTCGATTTTTCAAATTTTCGATTTCTCATTTTTTTATTTTTCCAATTTCGATATTTCGATTTCTCTATCATCGATTTTTTAGTTGTTTATTTCTTCAAATATTCAATTTTTCAATTTTTCGATTCTTCAGGTCCTTGATTTTTCAATTTTTTGATTTTTTAAATTTTCGTTCTTTTAATTTCTTTTTTCGACTTTTCCGTTTCACTCCAAAAATTTCTCAATTACAATGAAAACCAATAAAGTTAACAAAAAATCAAAAAAACGACCTCAATAAAATACAATTTTTTAAATTCTCAATATTTCGATTTCTCATTTTTTCGATGTTTCAATTCGTGAATTTTTCAATTTTTCGATGTTTCAATTCGTTGATTTTTCAATTTTTCGATTTTTCGATTTCTAGATTATTCAATTTTTCACTTCAGGAAATTTTCAGGTGTTTAATTTTAATTTTTCCATTTTTCATTTAGGTATTTAATTTTTCTGTTTTCGATTTTACTGTTTTTCTGCTTTCCGGTTTCTCGATTTTTCAATTTTTCCGTTCTCTTTTTTCAATATTTCAGTTTTTTGTGGATTTTTGACTTTTTTCAAATTCTCGATTTTCTAAATTACCCACTTTTCAACCTTTCGACGATTTGATATCTCTATTTTTTGATTTTTCACTTTTTGTTTCTTTATTTTTCAATTTCCCAAAGTTTAAATTTTTCGGATTTTTCGGTTTCTCCATTTTTTAACTATGGAGTTCTCAATTTTTCGATTTTTCAAATTTTCGATTTCTCATTTTTTTATTATCCAATTTCGACATCTCGATTTCGCTATCTTCGATTTTTTAGTTGTTTATTTCTTTAAATATTCAAATCAAACTTTATTTCTTCATCCGTATGTGGAGGAAGAGTTGCTTTCTCTTGTGAAAAATAAAATAAAACCTAAATGGTCGGCCGGACCAGACGATATTCCGCCAGCCATAATTAAAAAAGTACTCTCTGCAATTATAACTCCTCTAACGTACCTTATAAATTTGTCGTTTGAAAAGGGTCAGTTCCCGGAATTACTAAAAACATCAAAAATTATTCCCATACATAAGAAAAAAGATAAGGCTTGCATGGAGAACTACCGTCCTGTTGCAATTAGCTCTAGTTTTTCAAAAATTTTTGAACAAGCATTTTTGTGTCGCTTACAAAAATTTTTAGACAATCATAATGTACTTAGTAAATACCAGCATGGTTTTCGTAATAATCTTTCCACAAATACTGCCATGATTGATTTGTATAACAATGTTGTTTCAAAAATAGAGGCGGGAGAGTGTCCTGTTGGGATCTTTTGTGATCTCAGCAGGGCATTCGACTGCGTAAATCATAATCTGTTGATAACCAAATTATTCTCTTATGGATGTAGAGGTAATAGCTTGGATTGGGTAGTATCCTACCTCGAGAACAGGCATCAGTACGTTGTAATTCCGAATACCAATAAAGAAAATTTTAAAAATCAAATCAGTTCTAACATAATTGACATAGATGTAGGTGTGCCCCAGGGATCAGTTCTGGGACCCATTCTCTTCCTTCTTTACGTAAACGACATTGAAAGCATCTTTAAAAATGTATCACCTGTTTTATATGCTGATGACACGTCGATTATAATTTCAGATCGCAATGAAGTTCAATTAGAAAGAGAGGTTAATATTTTAATGACGAATCTCCAATCCTGGTTTTCCACCAACAACATTTATATAAACTCTGAAAAAACACAAGTTATAAGATTTCGTAATCGCCAAAACACCTGTAAGTATATAGATCTCAAATGTTCAAATCTACAGCATAACACTGTCGACACCATAAAATTTCTAGGTCTTATGGTAGATACAAACCTCAACTTTAAGTCACATGCCAAAATACTGGTTCCAAAATTAAACTCACTGTGTTATTTTCTAAGAAATTTAAAGATAATTTTAAATATTGATCAATTGGTTAATATATACCATGCTCATGTGGAATCCAGAATTAGGTATGGTATTTGTTTATGGGGTGGGTCACCAAGCGCAGCCAATGTGTTTATTAGTCAAAAACGTGCCATCAGAACAATTGCCGGTGCAAGTAAACATACAAGCTGCAAAAGCCTTTTTAAAAAATTAAATATATTGACTCTTCCGTCATTATACATATTTGAAATGAGTGTTCACATTTATAAAAACCGACATAATCTAACGTATGTCCATAACGTACATAAAGTAAATACCCGACAAAAACATCAGATTCATGTTCCGTTTAAACGTTGTAATGTTGGTGTGTTAGCAACTGATTGTATGGGAGTTAGAATTTTCAATTACTTGCCAGTGAATATTCAAAATTGTCAGTTAATATCATCATTTAGGAAAAATTTAAAAGTATTTTTAACAGATAAATGTTATTATTCCCTAGGTGAATTTTTTCAAGGTTGATGGCATGTTGACAATATCATTTTGTCTTTTTGTTATTTTGCTTGTTAAATGTTTAGTTTTTAATTTTTAGTTTTAGTGTTTCTTTGTTTGTATTTTTTTTCTTTTTGACTTGTCTTATATACTGTTATACATATATGTATCTGTGGAGACCAAATATATATATTATTATTATTATTATTATTAAGTTTTCAATTTTTCGATTCTTCAGGTTCTTGATTCTTCAATTTTTTGATTTTTTAAATTTTTGGTTTTTTAATTTCTTTTTTCGACTTGTCTGTTGCACTCCAAAAATGTCTCAATTACAATGAAAACCAATAAAGTTAACCAAAAATCAAGAAAAAAAGACCTCAAAAAAATATATTTTTTAATTTCTCAATATTTCGATTTCTCATTTTTTCGATGTTTAATTTTGTGGATTTTTCAATTTTTCGATTTTCCGACTTTTCAATTTATTCGATTTCTCATTTACTATACATTTTAGTTTTGGGTTGGGATTTGTCGATTTCTCGATTGAAATTTTTTAATTTTTTTAATTTTTTAATTTTTTTTAATTGAAGTTTTTTAGCTTTTCTGTTTTTCGATGTTTCTGTTTTTTGACTTTTCGATTTCTCAATTTTTCAATTTTTCAGTTTCTTTTTATGAATTTTTGACCTTTTTTCGACTTTTCGATTATTTAATTTTCCTATTTTTCAACCTTTGATTTTTCAGTCTTTTAGAGTCTCGGTTTTTCGAATATTCGATTTTTCAGATTTTCCATTTTTCGATTTCTCCATTTTTCAACTATGGATTTCTCAATTTCTCGACGTTTCAATTTTTCAATTCCTCAATTTTCAAATTTTTTTTTATTTTTCTGTGTCTCGATTTTGGAGATTTTTGGTATTAGGGTTTTTCAATTTCGATGTTCCGATTTCTCAATTTTCGATTTTTCAGTTGTTCAATTCTTCAATTATTCAATATATCGATTTTTCAGGTTCTCGATTTTTCAATTTTTTGATTTTTAAATTTTTTGATTTTTCAAATTTTCGATTTTTCATCATTTCTATTTTCCGACTTTTCGGTTTCACTTTTCTTCGATTTTTCGATGTTTCAGTTTTAGGATTTTTCGATTTTCCGACTTTTAGATTTTTTGATTTGCCCATATTTTGATTTCTCGGTTTTTCGATGTTTCAATCTCTCGATTTTTCAATTTTTCAATTTTTCGTTGTTTGAGGTTTTTGGTTTTTCTTTTCACTGGTTTTGCAAATTGTCATTTTTCAAATTTTCGATTTTTTTCACTTTTCAATTAATCGATGATAATAATAATAATAATTCTTTATTGATGGAAATTTCCTGAAATTGCCTGAAATTCCCTGAACACATTGGCTGATATTTCAGTTTTGGGATTTTTCCATTTTTCAATTTTTCAGTTTTTTGATTTTTTCAGTTTTTTAATTTATTAAATTTTCGATTTTCCACATTACAATAAGATATATAAAAAATCTAAAAACTGAAAAATTGTAAAATCAAGCATCTAAAAAATTCGTTAAATGGAGAAGTCGAAATATCAAAAAATTGAGAAAGTTTGAATTAAAAAATTGGAATAATCGAAAAATAAAAAAATCCTCAAAACTGACATTGAAAATTCAGAAATCCAAAACTTGGAAATTCGAGAAATCGAAAAATTATAAATACAAAATCGAAAAATGTGAAATTTAAGAAATCAAAAATTGAAAAATCGAGAAAACGGCAAATCGAAAAATTAAAAAATTAAAAACTCGATAAACTGAAAAATGGAAAAACTGAAAATCGAGTGATTGAAAAACTGGAAGATCCCAAAATCAAGGAATCATAATAGCCCAAAGAAAAATTAAAAATTGAGAAATTCGAGAAATCCAAACATCAAAAAATCTAAAAACTGAAAAATCTAAAAATCGGCCATCCAAAAAATTAAAAAACGGAAACATTGAAAAATTTTAAACCGAGAACTTGAAAAATGGTTACATCAAAAAATTGAAAAATTTTTTTGATTTTTTCAATTTTTTGATTTATTAAATTTTCGATTTTCCACAGTACAATAAGACATATCCAGCTAAAATCGAAAGAGAAAGTTGTAAAAATTGAAAAATCGAAATCTGGAAAGTCGAAAAATCGAACGATCGAGCAAAAGATCTAAAATTTAAAAAATTGAAAAATTAAAATATCGAAAAATTGAAAAATCCAGAAGTAGAAAAACTCTAAAAACTGATATATGTATTGAAAATTGAGAAATCCAAAACATGTAAATTCAAGAAATCGATAAAAATAAAAAAATTAAAAAAAAATGTGAAATTTAAGAAATCAGAAAACTAAAAAATCAAAAAGGCAGAAAATCAAAAATTTAAAATTTACAAAATCTAAATTGAAAATCGATAAATTAAAAAATCGAAAACTTGAAGATTCGGAAAATTGAAAATCCTAAAACTTAATGTCGAAAATTGGAAAATCTAAAAATCTAAAAATCAAAAAAACGAATAATTGACCAACTGGAAGATCATAAAGCCGAGAAATCAAAATAGCTATAAGAAAAATTAAAAATTGAAAAATTTGAGAAATCGATACATCAAAAAATCGAAAAACTGAAACATCGAAAATTGAAACATTTAAACAATCAAAAAATTGAAAAATTTTAAATTAAAAAAATCCAATAATTGGAAAGCAGAAAAATCGAAAAATCAAAAAACTTAAAAATCAAGAAATCAAAAAGATCTAAAATTTAAAATACCAAAGAATCGAAGAAAATTCGAGAATTTGAAACATCGAAAAATTGAAAAATCGAGAAATCGTAAAATCGTAAGTCGACATATTACAAAATTTGAAAAATCTAAAATTTAAAAAATCGAAAAATTAAAATATCCAGAAATTAAGCGTGCTGGTAGGTAAGTTTTGTTGAAATAACCTTTTACTAATTTTTAAATTTAAAATTTTGACTTATTCAGTCATCTAAGGGCATCCTCGAGTGTTTTAATAATTGGATAATCCCAAAATTTTTTAGATTTTTTGAAAATTTCTCAATTGATACACAAATGTCAAAACTCGACTACTCCATGTGCAGCAAAAAATAAAATTATTTTTTGCTCTAAGAAAGACCACTCTTTTCGCAGACGGTGCTTCTGAACATGCTGTCCAGCGAATTCGTCCTCACCGACAACCCCCTCCCAGAAGACCAAGCCGTCTGCGGCATCTACCTCCTCAACCGCAACCTCTACATCTATGGGACTTCCTCTTGGGTGAAGTTCGATATGCGCGGCAACCGAGAGGACGACTTCTCCGCCACGGTGGACCGAACCGAGTGGCAAATCCTATGCAAGTCTCCCCCAAACTCCCCAAACCTTGCATAACCCTGCACTTGCAGCCATGGAGTTCGACAACCCCACCCAGCACCGGATAATCTTCTGGAAGGGCAACCTCGACGACCCCCGCATGCTCCTCCACTTCAAGCAAAGCGAAACCGACTTCGAGCCCTTCGACTTCCACAGCGCCATCGTCTTCTCCAAGGACAAATCCACGATGTACGCTTGCACCACCGAGGGCTCCTACGCCGTCACCAAGTACGCGCGCTGCGACGCCGACTCCAGGTGGCAGTTTGATCAGAATCTACCCAGGATGGAGAACGACGATTCTGAAGTCATGCTGCAGCTCAAACTGGACAAGCACGACCAAGTTCTTTTCGGTATTTAATTAAGTCCGGGTTCGTCAACTTGGCAAAATCAAGTCCTATAATTTTTTGAAAAAGCTGAATTGGTTTACCTTCCACCAATTTTTTTATTTTCATTTTCTTTATTTTTCGATTTTTCAATTTTTCCTTTCCTCAGTTTTTCAAATTCTTGATTTTTATTATTATTTTTTTCATTTCCTTTATTTTTTCAAAGTTTCTTTCGGTTTTATAATTTTTCGTGTATTCAATTCTTCAAAATTTCAATCTTTGAATTTTCAGTTCCTCAATTTTCCTATTTTTAAAATTTTCAATTTTGCAATTTTTGGGTTCTCAATTGTCCGATTTTGCGATTTTTCAAAAAACCGAAGGAACGTTTTTCCCATTTTTGATATCTCAATTTTATAATTTTGCAATTTTTTCTTTTTTTTATTCGAAAAGTTCAAAAATCGAAAATTTGAAACACTGAAAATCTAAAAATTGAATCACTTAAAAATCGAAAAGAATCAGTGACACGAAAAATTGGCACTAAAAGTCGGAAAGATTGAGAAATCGAAAAACTAAAAAAACGAAAAAATTCCAAATCGAAAAAATGCAAATGAAAGTACTGTAGAAACGAAAATAGGAGTTTTGAAAAACTAAAAATAGAGAAATTCGAAAAACAAAAAAGAATAATGAATCGAAAAATTGGCAAACCCAAAAAATTAAATGCCAAGAAATTGAAAAATTGAATAAATAAGAAAGTTTTACAATACCAAAATTTGAAAAGTGGTAAAATTATAAAATCGTAAAAATTTAAAATAAAAACTGAAAAAATTGCAAATTAAAAATTGAAGAAAAAATCGAGAAACTGAAACACCTACAATCCAAAAAATTCACACTAGAAAAAGAAAAATTATGAAATCAGAACAATGAAAAACAAAAAAGTAAATAAATAAAGAAAATAAAAACCCGAAGCGAAAAATTGCAAATCGAAAAATCGAAAAATTAAAAAGGAAAACTTGAGAAACTCAAATCGAAAATTGCAAAATCCAAAAATTGAAAAAATTCAAAAGATGGAAAATTGAAAAACTGAACAATTTAAACTTGAAAATTCGAAACATTACAAAACGAAAAACTGAAAAAAACAAAAAAAAATCGAGAAAAAGTAGAAGAATTGAAAAATCGAAAAACTAAAGAAACGAAAAATTACAAAATCGAAAACGTGGAAAATCGAGAAATTTAAAAATAAAAAAAAATAATGAATCCAAAAATTGGAAAACCCAAAAAATTAAATATTAAGAAACTAAAAGAGCGAAAAATTTTAAAAAATTGAAAACCGGAAAATTGCAAGACGAAAAATCCAGAAATTCCAAAAATTCACATGGAAAAAGAAAAATGATAAAATCAGAAGAATGAAAAATGAAAAATGAAAAAAAAATAAAAACCGAAACGAAAAATTAAAAATAAGTCCAGAACTAAAAATTGCAGAATCCAAAAAATTAAAAATGCAAAAGTTGGAAAATTGAAAAACTAAAAAATTTAAACTTAAAAACTAGCAAACCAAAAACTGAAGAAACAAAAAAATGCAAATTTGAAGAATTGAGAATTCGAAAAAAAATTAAAAACCAAAAATTAAAAAATCAAAAAAAAATTGAAAAATCGAAAAATTGCAAAACGAAAGACTGAAGAAATGAGAAATCGAATCATTGGAAAACTAAAATTCCAAGACCAAAAATCGAAAAAATTATTGAATTGAAAAATTGGAAAGAAGAAAAAATGAAGCGAATCGAAGAAGTGGAAAATTCAGACATTTTAAAATCGAAAAATTGTACAATCGTCAAAAATTAAAAATAAAAAATCGAACAATTGAAAAATTCAATAAATAAAAAAATTTAAAATTCAGTACATATTAATTGAAAAATGAAAAATTCCTAAACTAAGAAATTTTAAATTTTTTTTTTTTTATTATAATTATTATTACATATATTAAAATGGAAACTAGAAAAATTTAAAATCAAAAATTGAAAAATAGATAAACTGAAATATCTAAAACTGGAAAAATCCTTCCAGTTTAAAATTTTTTGCTTTTTCAATGTTCGTTTCTTCGTTTGGTTTTCGACTTTCCGATTTCTTGATTTCCAGATTTTTCAACTTCTGTTTCTCAAATTTTCGATATTTCAGTTTTACGATTTTTCAATTGTTGGAACAAATTTTTTTCGATTTCCCGATTTTTCATTTATTTATTTGAAATTTGAATCTTAAGTTTTCCCCTTTTTCAGTTATTCAGTTTCTCGATTTTTAATTTTTCGATTACTCAATTTTTCGATACTTCATTTTTGGGATGTTTCCGATTTGTCGATTTTTCAGTTTTTCGATTTTTGTTTTTTTTTTGTTGCGACTTCTCAGTTGTATTTTTTTCGTGTTTTCAATTTTTCTGTTTATGGATTTTTTTCAAATTTGAAATTTTTGAGTTTTTAATTTTTCGACGTTCTTAATGCGATTTCAATTTTTTGACGTTTAGATTTCTCGATTTTTCAACATTTTCAATCAACTTCTATTAAATTTTTCACTTTTTCGATTTTTTGATTTATAAATTTTTTTACTTTTCTTTTTGATTTCTCGGTTTTTCGGTTTTCCGATTTTTTGACTTTTCGGAGTTTCGATTTCTGGATGTTTCAATTTTTCAGTGATCCGATTTTGAAAATTTTCAATTTTTCGACTTTTAGTTTTCTCGATTTTTCAACTTTTCCGTTCAATTTCTACTAGAGTTTTCAGTTTTTCGATATTTTGATTTATAAATTTTTCGATTTTACGATTTTTTAGTTTCTCAGTTTTCAATTTTTGGATTACTTCATTTTTCGATAGGTACTTCATTTTTGAATTTGTTTCGATTTTTCGGTTCTTCAATTTCTCACTTTTTTTCTAATTTGTCAATTTCTCGATTTCTCAATTTTCTGCAATTTTCATGTTATAATTTTTCAATTCTTCAATTTTTCGATTTTTAAATTTTTAAATTTTTTGACTTTCCGACTTTTAGCTTTTTCGATTTTTTGCTTTTCCGTTTTCTCGATTTCTCAATTTTCTGATATTTTCGTGTTACAGTTTTTAAATTTTTCTATTTTTCAATTTTTTTGATTTTCCATTTTCTCGATTTCTCAACTTTTTGAAGTTTTGATTTTTCGAGTTTCCAATTTTCATCATCGTTTTTCTTTTTTTTTTTTGTTGTAGATTTTCAATTTCTCGATTTTTCGATTTTTCAGCTCTTTGACTCTTCAATTTTTCTTCGATTTTTCTTCGATTTTTCCGTTTTTCGATTTATCGATTTATCAATTTTTTAGGATTTCAGTTTTAAGAATTTTTAAACATTTCTATTCCTTTATTTTTATTTTTTAATAATAATAATAATAATAATAGCATACATTTGTAAATTGTTTTGCATTTCGATTTGCCAATTTTTCAATTTTTCGGTTTTTCAATTTTTCGGTTTTTCAATTTTTCAATTTTTTGACTTTCCGACTTTTAGTTTTTTCGATTTTTTTATTTTTCGATTTCTCGATTTCTCAATTTTGTGATATTTTCGTGATACAGTTTTTCAATTTTTCGATTTTTCTATTTTTCTATTTTTTTGATTTTCCATTTTCTCGATTTCTCAACTTTTTGAAGTTTCGATTTTTCGATTTTCCAATTTTCATCATCGTTTTTCTTTTTTTTTAGTTGTAGATTTTCAATTTCTCGATTTTTCGATTTTTCAGCTCTTTGACTCTTCAATTTTTCTTCGATTATTCCGTTTTTCAATTTATCAATTTTTTTAGATTTCAGTTTTAAGAATTTTTAAACATTTCTATTCCTTTATTTTTATTTAATAATAATAATAATAATAGCATAAATTTGTAAATTTTTTTGCATTTCGATTTGCCAAATTTTCAATTTTTCGATTTTTCAATTTTTCAATTTTGTGACTTTCCGACTTTTAGCTTTTTCGATTTTTTGATTTTCCGTTTTCTCGATTTCTCAGTTTTCTGATATTTTCGTGTTACAGTTTTTCAATTTTTCAATTTTTCAAATTTCCTATTTTTCAATTTTTTTGATTTTCCATTTTCACGATTTCTCAACTTTTTGAAGTTTCGATTTTTGGATTTTCCAATTTTCATCATCGTTTTTCTTTTTTTTAATTGCAGATTTTCAATTTCTCGATTTTTCGATTTTTCAGCTCTTTGACTCCTTAATTTTTCTTCGATTTTTCCGTTTTTCGATTTATCGATTTATCCATTTTTTAGGATGTCAGTTTTAAGAATTTTTAAACATTTCTATTCCTTTAGTTTTATTTTTTTAATAATAATAATAATAGCATAAATTTCTAGATTGTTTATCATTTCGATTTGCCAATTTTTCAATTTTTCAATATATTAATGTCAAAACATTAATCAACATCAAAAATCAAAATTTCTAAATTTTTCTATTTTTCTATTCTTCAACTTTTTGCTTTAATTTTTCGATTTGTCAATTTTTTACCTTTCCGATTTTTCATATTTACATATTTCCGACTTTTTGACGCTTGATTTCTCGATTTTTTGACTTCGGATTTGTCAATTTTTCAATTTTTCGATTCTTCAAATTTTTCATATTTTCGTTTATCGACTTTTAGATTTCTCGATCTTTCAATTTTTCCACTCAATTTCTACTAGATTTTTCAGTTTTTCGATATTTTGATTTATAAATTTTTGGATAGTTCAGTTTCAGCAATTTTCAACATTCTTAAATTTTTCGATTTTTCTTTCTTCCGATTTTTCAAATTTACAATTTTTCAGTTTTTACGTTCCATTTCTCGATTTTTCCATTTTTCGATAACTTAATTTTTCGATACTTCATTTTTGGAATATTTCGATTTCACAATTCTTCAATTTTTCGTTTTTTCTTTTGTTGCAACTTCTCAGTTTTATATTTTTGGGTTTTCGATTTTTTTATTTATGAACTTTGTCAAATTTAAAATTTTTCAATTTTTCAATGACTCGGTTTTAAAAATTTTCAATTTTTCGACGTTTAGATTTCTCGATTTTTCAATTTTTCCACTCCAGCTTCTATTAGATTTTTCAGTTTTTCGATTTTCCTATTTTTCAATCTTCCGAATTTTAAATTTTAGATTCTTCGATTTTTTGGTGTTTCGATTTCTTCATTTTTCGATTTTTATGTTTTAGATTTTCTGATTTCTCAATTTCTCGCTTTTCTGAAGATCTAAAATTGAAAAAACGAAAAATTAAAAAATCTCAAAATTGAAAAATCGAAAGCTAAAAACTGAAAAACTGCAAACCGAGAAATTGAAAAATCCATAAACTGAAAATTTTCACAATGAAAAAAAAATAAAATCAGAACATTGAAAATCCGAAAAATTGAAAAATTAAAGAAAATAAAAAAATTGCAAATCGAAAAATTGGGAAATTGAAATGAAAAATTTAAAAACCGAAAAAGTAAAAATGAAAACTCGTGAAACTGTAAATCGAAAAACTGCAAAATCCAAAGATTGAAAAACCTTCAAAAGTTGGAAAATCGGAAAACTGAAAAATTTAAAAATATGCATATCCAGCTAGACTCCGTCTAATCATGCAAAAATTGCCAAATGGAAAATTAAAAAATTCAAAAACTTGAAACAGAAAAATCGAGAAATCGAAAAATCGAAAAATCGTAAAGTCGAAAATGAAAAAACTGGAGAATCGAAATATTGAAAAGTTCCAAAACTGGAACAACGAAAAATCCAAAAATTGAAAAATTAACATTAAAAAAAAATTATAAAATCAGAAAAATTGAAAAAATTAAGCAAATAAAAAATCTTATTAACTCGGTGTTGCCAAGTTTACGGCTCCCTTAACCCCACTGTTGCCACCTAAGTCACACTATTATCACTCCAGGTACCACCAGCAACGGTTTCGTCCTGTGGGACTTCAACGACGAGAACAACATCAGCCGCGAAGCCGTCGTGCTCAAACTCCCCTACGGCACCCGGAACATCACCACCAGGATCCTCCAGTCCAACTCCGTCATGCTCAGCGGCCGCCGCAACTACGCCATCGCCGGCGTGCGCAAGAACCTCTACGTCTGGAGCATGCAGGACTACAAGCTGGTGAAAATCCTGGACGCCCACTTCGGCCGGATCATCCAGCTGGAGGCCCTCACCGTCGGCAACTGGAACAGCATCGTGACGTCGTCGATCGACCGCACCGTCAAGGTGTGGAACATCAACAACATCTTCGAGCAGGTGCACGTGATCGACAGGCACGAGCTCCAGGTGGACTCCATCAGCCTGTCGGACGACTTGAGTCTCGCGGTGACGGTTACGAGGAACTGCGTGGGGGTGTGGGACCTGAGGGTGGGGAAGCTGATGGCCAGACTAGCGGACAGTCCTCTGGGGGCGATTGTGACCCATGCCGTCATCACTCCGGACGGGAAGTACATAATTTCCGCGGAGTCGGGGAATTTTTTGGTTTGGTTGAGGTTGACAGAGCAGGTGATTTACAAGGAGGAGCAGCCGGGGATAAGGCAGTTGACGCTGATGAATGAGGGGACGAAGGTGGTGTCGATTTCGAAGCCGAGTAATCCGCCAGGCACGGATGTGGTGCGGACGGTGGCCACGGTGTGCATTCGGGAAATACCAGGTAAGAGATACTTTCATGTTTTCTCGAGGTTTCATGAACCATAGAGTACGGAAAAATAGGGTTTCCGTCTGTCTGTCTGTCTGTTTGTCTGTCAGTCCGCCGAAATTCTTGTATGTATTTTTATTTTAACTTCCAATTTCTAATTTTTCCATATTTAATTTTTTTTAATTTTAGATGTCTCGATTTTTTATTTTTCAAGTTTTCGATTCTTAAAATTTTCAATCATGTACAGTGACTTTCCGATTTCTCGATCTTTCAATTTTTCTTCGATTTTTCAGTTTTTCGATTTATCGAATTATGAATTTTTTTAAATTTAAATTTCAGGTATTTTCAATTCATATTTTTCCATTTTTCGATTACTTAATGTTTCGCTTTATCGATTTTTAATTTTTTTGATTTCTCAGTTCTTCGATGTTTCAATTTTTCAATTGTCCAAATTTTTAAATTTTCGATTTCTCAGCTTTTTGATGTTTTGATTGCTCAACGTCTCGATTTCTCGATCTTTCATCTTTCGATTCGTCACGTTTTATTCAAAATTTTACCATTTCGATTTTTCGATATTTCAATTTTAAATTTTTCCGTTCTTCGATTTTTCTATTTTTCAATTTCAAATCCGTTTTCGATTTTTCAACTTCTCGGTTTTTGATTTTTCGGTTTTTCAATTTTTTGATTTTCAAATTTTAAATTTTTCGATTTCTCCATTTTCCAACTTCTGATTTCTTAAGTCAGTTTTAGAAATTTTTAGTTATTTTATTCTTTAATTTAACGTTTTTTTTTCAGTTTTTCAGTTTCTCAATTTTTCGATTACTTATTTTTCGATTTCTCATTTTTCTGATGTTTTCGTGTTACCAGTTTTCAATTTTTTGATTCTTCGATTTTTTTATTTTTCAATTTTTCAATTTTTCGACTTTCCGACTTTTAGATTTTTAATTTATTCATTTTACCAATTACTCAGTTTCTTAACTTTTTGATGTTTCAATTGTAGATTTTCGATTTCTCGATTTTTCGGTTCTTTCAGTCTTCTATTTTTGAATTTCTCCAATTTTTAAATATTACAGTTTTCAATTTTTTGGTGTTTCAATTTCTCGGTTTTAGATTTTTCGGATTTTCAATTTGGAAAATTCTTGATTTTTCAATTTTTAATTTTCCGGACTTATCGAAATTTCGATGTTACGATTTTTTGATTGTTCAATTTTACGATTTTTTGATTTTCCAATTTTTCGATGTTCCAAGTTTTCAATTTTTCCATTATTTTTCGGTTCTCCAATTTCTCGGTCTTTCAGTTTTTCGACTCATAAATGTTAGGATTCTCGTTTCTCATTTCGCTTTTTATTTTTCAATTTTTACATTTCTTGGGTTTTTAAATTTTTCGGTTTTTAAAATTTTTAGTTTTTTTATTTTTCAATTTTTCGACTCTAGTTCTTTGGTTTTTCAATTTCTCAGTTTTTCAATTTTTCGCTTTCTAGATTTCTCAAGTTAAGTTTTAGGATTTTTTAGTAATTCGGTTCTTCAGTTTTCGATTTTTTCGATGTTTCAACTTTTCAGTTTCCCATTTTTTCCGTTATTTTTCGGTGCTTTAACTTGTTGATCTTTCAGTTTTCTAATTTTAGGTTTTTTATTCCTCGTGTTTCTTTCTATTTTTCATTTTTTGTATTTTTTTGGTTTTTAAAATTTTTAGTTTTTCGATTTTTCAATTTTTCGGTTTTAAAATTTTTTGATACTTTAACTTTTTGATTCTTCAATCTTTCAATTTTTAGATTTCTAGATTTATCGAGATTTCGATGTTTACATTTTTTGATTTTTCGATTTCTCGATTTTCCAACATCTGGTTTCTCAAGTTTTCGCTGTTTCAGTTTTAAAATTTTTTAGTAATTTGATTCTTCAATTTTTCGATTTTTTCAGTTTTTCAGTTTCCCAAGTTTTCAATTATTCTATTTTTCGGTTTTGCAATTTCTCATTTTTCTTTCAATTTCTGAATTTTCTCATGTTTTCGTGTTACGATTTTTCAATTTTTCGATTCTTCGATTTTTCAATTTTTCAAGTTTTGGACTTTCCGACTTTTAGTTTTTTAATTTTTTTGATTTTCCTATTCCTCAATTTCTTGAATTTTTGATGTTTCAAGTTCTCGATTTTCAAATTTTTCGATTTTTCAATAGTCCATATTTTAATTTTTCGTTTTTTTAATTGTAGATTTCGATTTGCAGATTTTTCGATTTTTCGCTTTTTAATTCTTCAATTTTTGAATTTTTCGGATTTTTAAAATTTAGAGTTTTTCGGTTTTTCCGATTTATAGAGTTTTTTAATTTGTAAATGTTTAATTTTTTAGTTTTTTACTTTTTATATCATTCTCGATTTTTTCATTTTTGAGTTTTCCGGATTTTCGATTTTTTGATTTCTCAATTTTTCGATCTTTCGATTTTTAAAATTTTCCGATTTCCCAATTTTTTAACATTTCAGATTTGGGAGATTTCAATTTCCCGATTGTTCAATTTTTCGGTCCTTCAGTTTTTCGATTTTTCAATTTTTCAATTTTTTGATTTCTGGATTTATCCAAATTTAGATGATTTTATTTTCCGATTGTTCAGCTTCCCGATTCTTTCGTGTTTTTGTTATTAATTTTAAATTCATTAATTTTCCAATTTTCCAATTTTTAATTTTTCATTGAAAACTCGTGAAACTGCAAATCGAAAAATTGTAAAATATAAAAACTGAAACATTCAAAAGTTGGAAAACAGAAAACCTGTAAAATTCAAAAATGAATGAAAACTCGGAAAGTTGCATTTCGTAAAATTAAAGAAACAGAAAAATGAAAAATTGAAAAACTGAAGAAACGAAAAATTGCAGACAAAAATTATTGAAAAAAACAAAAATATAAAATAAACGAAAAATTGTGAATTGAAAAATAGAAAAATTGAAAAGTCGAATAAATGAAAGAGTTCTAAGACTCAGAAACTAAAAACAAAAAAAAATTAAATCCTAGAATTAAAAAAGTGAGAGATTTTTAAAATTGTCATTATTACGTATTGAAAATGAAAATTATAATTGTGCAAATCGAATATTAAAGAAACGAAAAATTGAAAAATCATGAAACTGAAGAATCTAAAATTGAAAAAATGAAAGCCGAAAAATCGAGTAAATGAGAAACCGAAAAATTGCAAATCAAGAAATTCAAAATCCAAAAATTGAAGCATTTTGCATTGAAATAAAAGAAAATTGGAAAAACAAAGAAAAGAAAAAAACCTAAAAAAAATGCAAATTGAAAAATTGGAGATACGAAAAATTAAAGATCTATTGAAAAATTAAAAATTGGAAAGTCAAGAAATTTTAGAGCGAAAAATTGCAATATTTAAAAATTGAAGAAACGAGAAAAATGAAAAAGTGAAAAATCACAAATGGAAGAAATGAAACATACACACAAAAAATCATAAAATCGAAAAAATCGAGAAACGCAAATTGAAAAATTCAGTAGTTGGAAAATTAAAAAACTGAAAAATTTAAAACTTTGCAACTTGAAAAATTGCAAATCGAAAAACGGAGGAAACAATAAAAATTGAAAAATTGGAAACTCAAGTAATTTCAAGATTTGAAAATTCAGAAATTCAAAAATTTCTTATTAAAATGAAATAAAAATTGTGAAATCAGCACACTGAAAAACCGAAAAATTGAAAAATAAAGATATTTTCAATTTTTCAGGTTTTCGTTTTCTCAATTTTTCAATACATGTTTCAATTTTGGAAAATTTTCAATTTCTGGATTGTTAAATTTTTCCATTTGTTTAAATTTTTGAAAATATTTGAGTTTTCAATTTTTGGTTATTCGATTTTCCAACTTTTCGACTTCCCGGTTTTTCGATTTTTCGGCTGTTACCTTTGAGACTTTTAGATTGAAGTAGAGAAGTAGATATATATAAGTAGATATGTTGGTAGATAAGTAGACAAATAGATAATTGATACTTAGATAAACAGATAAGTTAACAAGTAGATGGATAGACATGTAGATAGATAAGTAGAAAACTAGTTAAGCAGATAAGTAGACATAAGTACATAAGTAGATAAATAAGTTTCGATTTAAAAAAAAAAATCGATTTTTGCTTTCTTGATTTTCCAAATTTTCAACCTCCCAATTTTCCAACATTTCACTTTTGGTAATTTTTCGATTTTTCGTTTTTCAAATTTTAAACTTCTCTGTAAATAACTTTCGACCAATTTTTTCTAGGTGGGGAGATGGAGTACAGTTTCGAGTACCCCGTCCGCAGCATAACCGGAGTACCTTTCAAGCCGGCGGTGATCACCTCCGACAGCCTCCACCTGGTGGTGGTGGCCGCCGACAAGACCAACCGCGACTGCGTCATGGTTTACAACGCCACCAACGGAAACCTAGTGCACAAGATATCTCTAAAAGCCTCCGGAATCAAAGACGTGGGAACTCTGGTGGCCATGCCCCACAAAGGTCACCTCATAGCCGTCATGAACATCGACAAAGGCGGCATCATCGACATTAAATCAAAGAAGCACCTGAGGAGCGTGCCCAAGTGGGGCGGAAGCGTCACCAAAGACGGAAAGTACGGGTTGTACGCACCTTCGAGGTAACCAAAAAACGCAAAACTGTGTGACAGTCTCGACAAATTTGAATTTGAATTTTCAGAGGGGGTCTGGAGCTCCTGGAGCTGAAAAAGGGTCAAAGTGTCAGGACTTTCATCCCGAAAGTAGCCGAAGGTGTTTTCACTATTATTTGTCTTTTTAATAAGACGGATGAGTACGTTTTGTACTACCACAGTGGGCGAAAAACGTTGAGGGTGTTCCGGTAGGTGCATGATCTAGGGAGGGTGTATTTTTTATTTTTTGACGAATTTGTAGAACTAGTGATGCTACCATGGTTGCAAATTACCGTGTGCAAGCTGAATTGACGGCTGTGGAGAGTACTCCGGATGGGAAGGCTCTGGTTTTGGGGACGGTAGATGGTTGTGTTTCCGTTTTGGCTATTGTTGATACGGATAATCAAGAACTGGACGATTATCTGGCTGAAATGCCTTCCAGAGACGAAGAGGTATGTGGGTACTGCTTGTGGCCAACTAAGAATAAAAAATTTAAGAAAAAACAAAAAAAGTCAAAATTTGTGTGTAAAAAAAGTCAAAATTGTATAACATTTCTCAATTTTCATATTTTAGTTTTATAATTTTTTAGTTACCTATTTGATTTTTCGATTCTTTAATTTTTCATATTTTCAATTTTTCAATTCTCCAGGTTTTTGATTTTTCAATTTTTCGATTTTTAAAATTTTCAATTATTCGATTTTTGGATTTTTCATTCTTTCAATTTTTCCATTTCTTTCCGATTTTTTAGTTTTTCGATTTCTCGATATTTAATTTTTTCAATTTTTCAATTTTTCGATGTTTCGATTTCTCGATTTTTCAATTTTTCCATTCTTCAAATTTTAGACATTTTAATTTTCGATTTTTCAAATTTTCGATTTCTCAGTTCTTCAATTTTTCTGTTTTACAATTTTTAAATTTTAGATTTTTCGATTTCTCGATATTTTATTTATTCGATTTATTTTTCGATGTTTCGATTGCTCAATTTTTAAATTTTTAGATTCTCCAGGTTTTTGATTTTTCAACTTTTCCATTTTTCAGTTACTTTTCGATTTTTCAATTTTTCGATGTTTCGATTTGTCTAGTTTTCAATTTTTCAATTCTTCAAATTTTCGATTTTTCGATTTTTCGATTTCTCAGTTCTTCAATTTTTCTGTTATTGAATTTTTAAATTCTAGATTTTTCAATTTTTTGACGTTTCGATTTCTCCATTTCTAGATTTCAGGTTTAGATTTTACTTTTTATCAATTTATCGATTTTTAAAATTACTGATTTTTTGGATTTTCGATTCATATATTTTTCGATATTTCGGTTTTAGGATTTTTCGATTTTTGATTTTTCAATTTACCGATTTTTTACGTTTTAGTTTTCTCAATTTTTTATTTCTCGGTTCTTCAATTCTTCACATTTGCAATTTTTGGATACTCCAGGTTTTTGATTTTTCAATTTTTCGATTTTTAAAATTTTCAATTATTCGATTTTTGGATTTCTCGTTCTTTCAATTTTTCCACTTCTTTCCGATTTTTCAATTGTTCGATTTCTCGATATTTTATTTTTTCGATTTTTCAATTTTTCGATGTTTCGATTTCTCGATTTTTCAATTTTTCGATTCTTCAGATTTTAGACATTTTAATTTTCGATTTCTCAATTTTTCGATTTCTCAGTTCTTCAAATTTTCTGTTTTTCAATTTTTAAATTTTTGATTTTTCAATTTTCGATTTTCCGATTTCTCGATATTTTATTTTTCCGATTTTTCAATTTTTAGATGTTTCGATTGCTCAATTTTTCTATTTTTAGATTCTCCAGGTTTTTGATTTTTCAACTTTTCCATTTTTCAGTTACTTTTCGATTTTTCAATTTTTCGATGTTTCGATTTCTCTAGTTTTCAATTTTTCAATTCTTCAAATTTTCGATTTCTCAGTTCTTCAATCTTTCTGTTACTGAATTTTTAAATTCTAGATTTTTCGATTTTTTGATGTTTCGATTTCTCCATTTTTAGACTCCAGTTTTAGATTTTACTTAAAATTACTGATTTTTCGGATTTTCGATTTATATATTTTTCGATATTTCGGTTTTAGGATTTTTCAATTTACCGATTTTTTAAGTTTTAGTTTTCTCAATTTTTTATTTCTCGGTTCTTCAATTCTTCACATTTGCAATTTTTGGATAGTCCAGGTTTTTGATTTTTCAATTTTTCGATTTTTAAAATTTTCAATTATTCGATTTTTGGATTTCTCGTTCTTTCAATTTTTCCATTTCTTTCCGATTTTTCAATTTTTCGATATTTTATTTTTTCGATTTTTCAATTTTTCGATGTTTCGATTTCTCGATTTTTCAATTTTTCGATTTCTCAGTTCTTCAATTATTTTGTTTTTCAATTTTTAAATTTTGGATTTTTCAATTTTTGATGTTTCGATTTCTCCATTTTTTGCACTTCTCGGTTTTAGATTTTTCTTTTTAACAATTTATCGATTTTTAAAATGACTAATTTTTCAGTTTTTCGATTTTTCGATTTCTCGATATTTTATTTTTTCGATTTTTCAATTTTTCGATGTTTCGATTGCTCAATTTTGCAATTTTTAGATTCTCCAGGTTTTTGATTTTTCAACTTGTCCATTTTCAGTTACTTTTCGATTTTTCGATTTCTCGATAGTTTATCTTTTCGATTTTTCAATTTTCCGATGTCTCGATTTCTCGATTTTTCGATTTCTCAGTTCTTCAATTTTGCTGTTTTTGAATTTATAAATTTTAGATTTTTCAATTTTTTGACGCGTCGATTTCTTCATTTTATAACTTCAGTTTTAGATTTTTATTTTTATCAATTTTTCAATTTTTAAAATTATTGATTTTTCTGCTTTTCGATTTATCAATTTTTCGATATTTCGGTTTTAGGATTTTTCAGTTATTTGATTTTTCAATTTACCGATTTTTTAAGTTTTAGATGTCTCAATTTTTTATTTCTCGGTTCTTCGATTCTTCACATTTTCAATTTTTGGATTCTCCAGGTTTTTGATTTTTCAATTATTCGATTTTTGGATTTCTCGTTCTTTCAATTTTTCCATTTCTTTCCGATTTTTCAGTTTTTCGATTTTTCGATTTCTCGATATTATATTTTTTCGATTTTTCAATTTTTCGATGTTTCGATTTCTCGATTTTTAAATTTTTCGATTCTTCAAATTTTAGACATTTTAATTTTCGATTTTTCAGATTTTCGGTTTCTCAATTTTTCGATTTCTCAGTTCTTCAATTTTTCTGTTTTAGAATTTTTAAACTCTAGATTTTCCAATTCTTTGATGTTTTGGGTTTCTCCATTTTTTGGACTCTTCGGTTTTAGATTTTTCTTTTTATCAATTTATCGATTTCAAAGTTATTGATGTTTCGGCTTTTTGATTTTTCAATTCCTTGATTTTTCAATTTCCGATTTCTCAGTTTTACGATCTCAGTCAATTTTTTGATTTTTCGAATTTTCGATTTTCAATTTTTCGATGCCTCAATTTTGGGATTCTTCAATTTTTCGATTCTTCAATTTGTCGATTTTTTAAATTTTCTACATTCCGAATTTTGAAATTTTAGATTTTTCAAGTTTTCAAATTTTTTAATTTCAGATTTCAGATTTTTCAATTTCTTGATGTTTCGATTTCTCGATCTTTCGGTTTTTCTACTTCTTGATTTTAGATTTTTCGGCTTCTCAATTCGTCGATTTTTCGGCTTTTCGATTTTTCAACATCTGATTTCTCAAGTTTTCGACACTTCAGTTTTAGGATTTTTCATTTTGTCGATTTTTTAAGTTTTAAATTTCTCGATTTTCGATTTCTTCAATTTCTCCATTTTTTGGGCTCGGTTTTTGATTTTTCTTGTTACCAATTTATCGATTTTTAAAATTATTGAATTTTCGGCTTTTCGATTCTCAATTTTTCAATTTCCGATTTCTCAATTTTTCGGCATTTTCAGTTATTTGATTTATCAATTTTCCAATTTCTCGATTTTCAACTTTTCGACGGCTCAGTTTTGATTTTCAATCTTTCTATTTTCCGAAATTTGAAATTTTAGATTTTCAATTTCAACGAATTTTTTCATTTCATATTTCAGATTTTTCAATTTCGGGATGTTTCGATTTCTCGATCTTTCGATTTTTGACTTCTCGGTTTTAGATTAGATTTTTCGACTTTAGAATTTTTGATTTTTCGATTTTCGACTTTTTCGACTTTTATATTTTACGATTCCTCGAATTTCCAACTTCCGATTTCTCAATTTTTTGATATTTTAGTTTTACGATTTTTCAGTTGTTTCATTCAATTTGCCGATTTTTAAAATTTTCGATATCTCGATTTTTCAATTTTTCTATTTTCCGAATTTAGAAATTTTTGATTTTTCCACTTTTCGAATTTTTTAATTTCAGATTTCAGATTTTTCAATTTCGTGATTTTTCGATTTGTCGATCATTCGATTTTTCGACTTCTTGGTTTTAGATTTTTCGGTTTTTCAATTCTTCGATTTTAAAATTTTTAATTTTTCGAGTATTCGTCTTTTCGATTTTTCAACTTGATTCTTCAATTTTTCAGTTTCTCAATTTTTCGATAAATTCGTGTTCCGATTTTTCAATTTTGTGATTGTTTAATTTTTCGATTTTTCAGTTTTTCAGTTTTTTGACTTTTCGACTTTTATATTTTACGATTTTTTGATTTTCTCATTTCTCAATTTCTGGACTTTTTTTTCAATTTTTCGATTTTTCACTTTTTGTTTGATTTTTCAATTATCTGTTTATCTATTATTCTATACTTCTCTACTTAAATCCAAAATTATAAAAATCGAAAAACCTAGGAGTCGAAAAGTCGAAAAATCGAATAAATTAAAAATCGAAAACTCTGATTTTTATAAATCGAAAAATTGAAAAACCAAAAAGTCGAAATCCGGAATGTTGAAAAATCTAAAGATGGAGGAATGGAAACTACAAAAAATTGAAACATGTAAAATTTTAAAAATGGAAAATTTTAAAATCCGGGAATAAAAAAAAATTCTCAACATGTATTGAAAAATTGAGGAAAAAAAAATGAAAAATAAAAAAAAACGAGAACTCGAAAAGTCAAAAATTTATAAATTCAAAATTGAAAAATCGAAAAACTGAGAAACGAAAAACTAAAAAATAGAAATGTTGAAAATTTGCAAAATCTAAACATGGAAAAATTCAAAAATTCAAAAATCTAAAAGTTAAGATGCCGACATATCGAAATGCCGAGAAATAAATAAACGAAAAATCGGATAATTAAAAAAATCGAACAATTTAAAAATCAAGAAACCAAATATGTATTTTAAAAATCGAAAAATGAAAAAATTCTAACACTGATTAATTGAAAAATTGAGAAATCGAAACTTGAAAGATTCGGAAATCGTAACATCAAAAAATTGTAAAATCGAAAACTAAAAAATCAAAAAATATAAAATTTAGGAAACCGAAAAATGGAAAAAACGAAAGACTGAAAAATCGAAAAGAAAACGAAAAATCGAGTCATTGAAGAATCCAAAAATCGAAAAACCAAAAAAAAGTCGAAAAATCGATTAAGAAATCGAGATTTCGAAAAATCGAAAATATAGAATCGCCAAAAATTGAAAAATTGTAATACTGAAATAGCGCAAAATCCAAAAATCAAAAAAAATGGGAAATGTAAAAATTAAAAAATCCAAAAATTGAAGAATCAAAAAACTGAAAAATCCCAAAACTGAAATATCGAAAATCTGATAAATCTTTAAAATCGAAAACTCGAATACCTACTTAAACATTTTAAAAATAGAAAAATTGAAAAACCGAAAATTCGAAATCCGGAAAGTCGAAAAATCTAAAGATCGAGCAATCGAAAGTACAAAAGATCGAAAAATCTAAAATTTAAAAAACGGAAAAATTTTAAAATCCAGGAATAGAAAAATTCTAACATTGAAAAATTCAAAAATTCAAAAATGTAAAAGTTAAAATGCCGAAATATTCAAACACCGAGAAAAAAATTGGAAAGTGGAATAATTGAAAAATCGGTAAATTGAGAAACTACTAAAACAGAATTATTGAAAAATTGAGAAATGGGACCTTGAAAAATTGAGAAATCGAAACATTAAAAAATCGAAAAATTGAAAAATCGAAAAACTGAAAAATAACTAAAAATCGATTGATTGAAAAATTTAAAAATTAATCGAAATTGAAAAATTGAAATATTAAAAAATTTTAAAATCGGGAAGTCGAAACATCAAAAAGTCGTAAAATCGAAAAATTGAAAATTCTAAATATGTAAAATTTAAGAAATCAAAAAATTGAAAACTCGAAAAACTAAAAAATAGAGAAAACGAGAAATCGAAACATCTAAAATTTATAAAATCGGAGTTGAAATATCGAAAAATTGAAAAATCAAATTGAAATGTCCAGAAATTTATAAATCGAAAAGCCGAATTACGAAAACCAGAGAAATCCCAAAGTTGAATATCTGAAAAACAGAAAAATCGAACGTTCTAAAAATTGAAAAACCAAAAAATTTAAATCCGGAAGGCCGAAAAATTGAAAGATCGGGCAGCCTAACAAAATTTAGAAATAGAAAAATTCCCTAAACAGAAATGTTGAAAAATTGAGAAATCGAAACATCAAAAAATCATAAATCGAAAAATGGAAAAATCGAAAAACGTAAAATTTAAGATTTCAAAAAATTGAAAAATCGGAAGAACGAAAAACTGGAAAAGCGAAAAATCTAAAAATCGGAAAATCGAAAAATCGAATAACTGAAAAATTGTAACATCGAGAAATCGAAACATGAAATGCTCCAGAAATCGAAATAAGCCAAATGGATTATTAAAAATTGAAAAATTGAAAAATCGGACCAATTGAACAATCGAAAAATCGAAATGTTCTAAAATTTAAAATGTCGAAAAATTAAAATATCGAACAACTGAAGAATCCAAAAATAGAAAAAGTTGAAATTGAAACATCAAAAAATGGAAGAGTCGAAAAATCTAAAAATTCAAATATCACAAACCCCAAAAACGGAAAAATTTAAAAATTGAGGAATTGAAAAACTGAGAATCCAAAAATCGAGACACTGAAACATTGAAAAGTCGAGAAATCGAGAAATAAGAAAATCGATAAGTCAAAAAGTCGAAAAATCGACCAATTCAAGACAGGTAAAAATTTTAAAATCGAAAAATTGAAAAATCGAAACAATAATTATTAACCAAAAAATTGAAAAATCGTAAAACTGAAATATCGGAAAATCGAAAATTCAAAAAAATAAGCAACTGAAATTTCGAAATTTTAACCTCTCTTTTTACAGTGGAAGAAAAAAGTGAACAAAATGAAGGCAGCCACTCGTTTCAAGGCCGTCGGCTCCATCGCGAAACTTTCAACCGTTTTCGCCAACAACGTAACCAACATCCTCAACTCCGCCGCAGAAGAAATCATCGAAGAAGATTAAACAATCAATAAAATAGGTGTTTTATTTATTTATAATATTCCCTCATACATCATATATTTTACATTCAATTAAAAGGTCGTGTCGTATTTTTGAAAAAAATTTAAACAGTTTTGGGTGCTTCTAGTATATTTTTTAAAAGAATGTGAAACGTTCGTGGAAGCCCATAACGTTTCGTGGAAAATCGTGAAAAATTTTTGGGGCTCCTGGTGCTTTATTTTTGAGGGAGTTTGAAACAATCTTGGAAAGATTGTCTTTTTAGAAATGATAATCATATCATTTGTGTATGTATTTTATTTGTATAATGTATCGTTAATCTCCAATTTGTCAGAAGTTGTACACATCTCGTTAAAAAAAAAATAGTAAAATAAAATATTTCAATCCCTCAGTAGCTGTTGTATTTTGAACTTCTGTTTCGGTGTCAGATTGATAACATCCTCGGCTTTCGGCGGCGTTATCACGGGATTGAGAAACTCCCTGTGAATCCGAACACCACTCAGTGCCCTCGACTGCGATATCTCCTGCTTCCTGACTTCCTTCAAGAACTGAAGTCTTTGTTTGGTGGCAGCTTTCGTGTACCTCTGCCTACAGACCACGTAACTACAAAAAACAACCAACTACAAAATTCACCAAACCCTGAAACTACCCACTAGGGCAACTGGAGGTGCCTGTAACTCGGATCTTGGCTATCATTGATGGTCAGCTTTTCGCAGCTCAGCTTTGGCACCAACGGAACATTAGTTTTTGACTTAGACCTCAAACGCAGTTCCTCGACGACGGTGCTGGCACTTAGTTCAGGTTTACTTTTGACCACGGCGATCTGGGTTCCACTAATTGCCTCCAGTGTAGTGGAGGCAACTTCAACCGATATCTCGTCGTCCATCTTCGAAGCAACTTCTGACGTTTCTGAGTTTCAAGAAGGTGTTTATGCGTTGCTAGGCGTCGCTGGAATCCGCTACGGTTTTGTTTACGGATGTATCGATTCTGGAAGTTCATAATTCAGCGTGTTTGGTCTGTTGTTTTTAGTACAGCAGCTGAAAATTTAGGTTGAATTAATGAGATATTAAAGCACACAATGATTTTTTTTAATAAAACAATAACTCGACGCGAAATTGTAATAAGGCAGCAGTTATTATACATTTTATACAAGAGTGACCTCAAAAATAAATATTGGTTAATTATTAGAAGTTAAAAGTAATTTCAAACTGAAAACAACTCTTTCCTCGCTTTCGCTCTCTTTCTCTCTCTTCTCCGGCCTTATTTCTTCTCTGTTTATCTCTTCGTCTCTCTCTTCCTTCATTTTTCATTTTTCTGTCCTTCCTATTACTACCTTCTCATCCTTTTTTCATCTCCTCGTCCTTCCTGCCCCTCTTCTCTCACTCTTTCTTTCTCTCCCCTTCTTCTGGTTCAACTTCCTTTCTCTCCCTCACTGTAAAAAATATAATTTTACCCTACGTAAATATAATAATTGTCCATATTAATGAAGTGATTTTACCTCAATTCTTCATTTTCTCCTTCTTTCTATTTCCTTCATCCTCTCTTAATAACCCCCCTCTTTCTCGTCTCTCTGCTTCACCTCTCTCTTTCTCTCTCATTCTTTTCTCTCTTTCCTTGCTCTCTCTGTCCCTTCCCTTTCACTCTTTGTCTCTCTTCTCTGTCATCTCTCTATATCACCTCCCCCGCTATCTTATCTTTCCCTTTCTTTCTTTCTCTTTAGTGCTTCCCTTTTTGACATTCTACATTGCTCACTTTTTCCTCGTTCTCCCTCCTGTCCCTACCTACCCCCTCTCAAATTCCTGTCTATCTCTTCCTCTTTCCTCTAACTTTCCTCCCTGCCTCCTTTTCCTCTACCGCTAACTGTGGCTCCTTCATCTCTCTTTGCTTTTTGCCCTCTCCCTCTCTCTCTCTCTCTCTCTCTCTCTCTCTCTCTCTCTGCTTCCTCTCCCTTCTTGCTCCCTTTGCTTCATTTCACTCTCCTTCCTCTCCTTCTCGCTTCTTTTCCTTCTCTCTCTCTCTGCCTGTCTGCCTCTTCTTCACCTCTTCTGATTTCTCAAGTTTTCGACAAGATTTTTCAGTTACTTGATTCTTCAGTCCTTCAGTTTCTCAATTTTACGATAAATTCGTGTTCCGTGAAAAATCAATTTTGTGATTGTTTAATTTTTCGATTGTTCAATTTTTCGAATTTTCAACTTTTATATTTTACGATTTTTTGATTTTCTCATTTCCCATTTTCTGGATTTTTGCGATTCTTCACTTTTTTTTAGTTATCTGTTTATCTCTTATCTATTTATCTACTTCTCAACCTATCTACTTATCTGTTTATCTATTTATCTATTATCTATCTTATTTTTTCTACCTATCGCTTAATTTCGTTATATACTTCTGTGCTTATTTACTTATCTGGTTATCTATCTACTTATCAATTTATCTATATATCTGCTTGTCTATTTATCTGATTATCTGCTTAACTAGTTGTACAACTTATCTGTCATCTATCTACTATCAATCTACCTAACTACCTACATACTTATCTACCCTTTTATCTACTTATCTACTTCTCTACTTAAATTCAAAAATCTAAAAATCCAAAAAGCGAGAAGTCAAAAAGTTGAAAAATCGAATAAATAGAAAACTCGAATACTTAAATATTTCAAAAATCGAAAAATTGAAAAACCGAAAAATCGAAATCCGAAAAGTCGAAAAATCTAAAGATCGAGCAAACGAAAATACAAAAAATCGAAAAATCTAAAATTTAAAAAACGGAAAAATTTAAAAATCCAGGAAGAGGAAAATTCTCAAAATTGAAATATGTATTCAAAAAGTGAGAAAAAGAAAACTTGAAAAAACTTATAAATTGGAAATTGAAAAATCGAAAACTGAGTCGAAAAACTTAAAGATGGAAATGTTGCAAAACTACAAAATCGAATGATTGAAAAATTCGAAAATTCAAAATTCTTCTTCTCTCTATCTCCTCCCCTGTTAACTTAGCGGCTGTTACTATCTTCGTCTTTCCCTTTCTTTCTTTCTTTCTTCTTTCTTTCTCTTTAGTGCTCCCCTTTTTGACATTCTACATTGCTCACTTTTTCCTCGTTTTCTCCCCTCTCCCTTTCTTCCCCCTCTCAAATTCTTGTGTATCTCTTTCTCTTTCCTCTAAATTTCCTCCCTGCCTCCTTTTCTTCTCCTGCAAACTGTGGCTCCTTCATCTGTCTTTGCTTTTTGCTCTCTCCCTCTCTCTCTCTTCTTCCTCTCCCTTCTTGTTCGCTCTCTTTCCTCCTTCCTCTAGTTTTCTTTTCTTCCTACTCCCTTTTTTCCTCTTATCTCCCTTTATTTGTTTTATTTTTCCCCCCAGTTTTTGCCTCTCTTTCTCCCTTCCTCTCTTTCCTCTCTACTTCTTTACGTGTTTCCCCTCTGTTTCTATTTCCATTTCTGTCTCTCTCCGCTTCTTTTCCTTTTGCTTCATTTCACACTCCTTCCTCTCCTTCTCGCTTCTTTTCCTTCTCTCTCTCTGCCTGTCTGTCTCTTATTCGTCGAAAAATCGAAAAGTCGAAAAACCAGAAATCAATTCATCAAGAAATTGAAAAATTGAAAAATTGAAAAATTAAAAAATTCAAAAATTGAAAACTTGAAAAATCTTAACACTGAAATATCGAAAAATTGAGATATAGAGAAATCGAAATGTCGAAAATTCGAAAAATTGAGAAATCGAAAAATTGTTGCACAATTTTGATTTTTTTTCCAAATATCTGGATGTCGAATTCTGCCTTTCTCTATCTTCCCCTCTTTCCTCTCTGTCGGTCCCTCTCGGCTTGCCTCCCTCGCCTCTTTTTCCTCTGTCTCCTGTCTCTCTATTCACTTTTTTCCTCTTTATTTCTCTCACTTATTTCTTTTCTCTCTGCTTCCTCTCAATTTTTCTTGTTTCTTTGCTTCATTTATTCCTTGTTCTCCTTCCTCTCCCTTTTTACCCTCTCTCTATCTTTCCTTCCTGACTCCTTTTCTTCTCCAGCTCACTCTCACCCATTCATCTCTCACTCTTTGTTGTTTGGTCTCTCCCACACTGTTTCTCTCTCCTTCCTATTCCTTCCTACCCTCTCTCTTTCCTCCCTCCTATAGTTCCCTTTTGTCCCTACTCTCCTCTTTCCTTTTATCTCACTTACTCTCCTTTATTTTTCCCTTCAGTTTTTACCTCTTTCTCTCTCCCCTCTTCTGTTTCCTCTCTCATTCTCTCTCTTGATCGCTTTCTCATTTTCTCTGCGTTTTCTCTTTGCTTCTATTTCCCTTTCTCTCTCTCTCTCCCTTTCTTTTCCCTTTGCTTCATTTCACTCTCCTTGCTCACTGCCTCGCTTCTTTTTTCTCTCTCACTCTCTCTCCCTACCTCTTCATCAACTCATTCTATTTCATCTCTGTCTCCTTATTCGTCGAGAAATCGAAAAGTCGAAGAAACAAAAATCGAGAAATTGAAAATTGAGTAATCGCAAGTTGAAAAACCGAGCTATCGAAAAATCGAAATGCACTATGCTCTCCTCTCTTTCCTCTTTCTCGGTCTCTCCCTGCTTGCTTTCCTCGCCTTTTTTTCCCCGTTTGCTCCCTCTCTCCCTCCCATTCCATCTTTTTCTCTCTTTCTATTTCATTCCTCTTTCGTTGTTCGCCCTCCTCCCTTTCGTTCTCCTTTCTGTCTTTTCTTTTTCTGTCTCCCTCTCTCTTTACCCCTCTCTTACTGTTTTCTTCTCTCTTTGCTTCCTCTCTGCTTCTATTTCCGTCCCACTCTCTCGCGCGCGATCTCTCTGCTTCTTTTCTGTTTGCTTCGTTTCTCTCTCCTTTCTCTTTCTCATTCTTCTCCATCTCTGTTTCTCCTTTCTCTCTATTCACTTTCTTTCCTCTTTATCTCCCTCACTATTTTTCTTTTCTCTCTGCTTCCTCTGTGTTCCTATTACCTCATTCTCTGTTGTTTTTCACTCGTTCTTCTTCTCCTCTTTCTGTTTGATTTCTCTTTTCTCCCTCTTCTGGCTTGCCCTCTTTCTCCCCCTCCTCTCTTTCCTCTCTCTTTCTCTCGATTGCTGTCTGCTTCTCTCTTCATTTTCTATCTCTATCTTTCCTTTCTGTCTCTCACACTTCTCTCTCTCTTTCTCTCCAAAAATCAAAAATCTATTAATCGAGAAATCGAAAAATCAAAAATCGAAAATTTGAAGAATCGAAAAAGAGAAAAAACCTAACACTGCAATATCGAAAAGCTGACTAATCGAAACCTGAAAAATCGAAATATCGAAACATCGAAATGCCGAAAATTCGAAAAACTGAGACCTCAAAAAATCGTTGCACAATTTTGATTTTTTCCAAAAATTCTCGATGTCAGATTCTATCTCTCTCCGCCCTCCTCTATTTTCTCCCTCTCGGTGTCTCTCTGTTTCCCTTCCTCTCCCTTTCTCTCCCCCTCTCCTTCTTCTTCCCTCTTCTTATTTATTTCTTTCTCATTCTTCGCGCTCCTTCCTTTCGTTCTCTTTTATGTCTTTTCTTTTTGTATCTCCCTCTCTCTAAAGCCCTCCTTCCTCTTCCCTTTACTCTCTCTCTCTCCCTGCTTTTTTTCTCTCTACTTCTTCTCTGCTTATTTTCGTTTCTCTCTCGTTCCTCTTTCTCCTTCTCTCTCACTTTTTTCTTTTCTCTCTGCTTTTTCATTGTTTGCATTTCTATTTTTCATTTTGCTTTGATTCATTTACCTCTCCTTCCTCGTTTTCCTTCTTCTTCCTTTCTACCCTCATTCAAATTCCATTCTCTCCCTCTCTCTCTATCTCTCTCTCGTTTTTCACTTAGCTCTCTCTTCTTGCTCGCTCTCTTTCTTCCCGCCTGCCGCTCTCTTTTTTTTCCACTCTCCTCTTTCCTTATCTCCCTCTCTTTCTTTTATTATTCTCTTCAGTTTCTGCCTGTCTCTCCCCCTCCTTTCTTTCCTCTTTATTTCTTTCGGTCCCTATCTGAGGCTTCTCTCTGTTT